GCGCGGTTACTCCATAATAGGATCGATTAGCAATAGATGTCCAGCCATCCAACGTGAATGAAATTTTCGAATTATTCGTTTGTAAAATTTTTAAGACTACTTTCTCAAGTTCAGAATATCGTTCCATTGTTAACGAATGAAGTTTCTTTCTTAGAGGCATGTCCGCATTCGGATTTAAATAATTGAAAATTTCTTGTGAACGTTCATCGTCAAAAAAAGAGAACGGAAGGTACTTCATTGCAATCCAGTCGACTACTTTCGAGTTAAAAACGTCTTGATTAAAAGTCTATTGTAAAAACGTAATATAAAAATTAAATTGAAAATACATAGGCACTCAAAACCCTTAATATAGATTCAAATTACGTATTTAAAAATTTTTTAATTAATTAATAACAAGAATTATAATAATTTTAAATTAAAATTTAATAATTTAATTAAAATTAAAATATTCTGGTTTCTACAATCTATTTACTTGTTTATTTGATTTTGACAGCACATCGTTAGTCGTGTATGTCTTAGCATATACATCTGGATGTTTGTCCCGCAGATGACGCTTTATTCCAGTAGTATTACTGTCCTTCATTTTAATTGTAATATTCTTTTCAGGAGCACATAATTTACATTTCCCTACTTTGCAGCCATTTTCAAAAGAATATTCAAAGGATTCCCCCAAAGATAATTCTCCTTGTTTTCTTCTTTTATTTTTGAACCGACTGGTGTTTTCTACGTGAGTACTATGCGTATTCGTTAAAATAAAAAGATAAAAATTATTATACGTTTATTGTAATATTTTTAATACTTTATACAATATTTTTCATATTTTTTTTAAATTCTTGTAATAATAAATAAAAATAAATAAAATTGTAAATAAAATAAATTAAATTGTAAATTAAATTTTAATATTATATTCAATTGTAAATAAAATAAAATAGTGAGTACTATGCGTATTCGTTAAAATAAAAAGATAAAAATTTTTACACGTTTATTGTTATATTTTTAACACTTTATACAATTTTTTATTAATTTTGTTTAAATTCTTGTAATAATAAATAAAAATAAATAAAATTGTAAATAAATCAAATTATAAATAAAATAAAATTGTAAATAAAATAAATTATAAACAAAATAAAATTGTAAATAAAATAAATAAAATTGTGAATAATTGATAATTATTGTAATTAAAATAGAAATATCTAATTAACAATCAATAATTTTTATTGAAAAACCTTGTCGTTAGATTAACATTTGTCTCAAAATCTTCCTCATTATTTCGCTTTCTATTCTCCATTTTACAGTTTCATCCATTCAAAGATTCTCAGAAATTCTAAATAATGGTAAATGTCAACTTTGACAAATAACAAAGTTTGATCGTTCTTTTCGAGCGATACAATACGATAAAAACAATGGAATGTTGCATAGTTCGGATAAAACAGAATTCTCGTTATTCGATTTTTTTCGAACGATAACGATCATTTCTCGGCTCGACATCCAACACTAGTTCAAAGCTTTTCAAAATAATCGACTCCATGAAGAATTAGAGATTATGGTTCAAGTAATTTATTCGTTTCTTAAAATTCATTGTGGTATATCATTTTTATTTTTCATTAATGGTTTTTTTGTTACAAATTAGAAAATATAAATGAAAATCATAAAAAATTTTACTTCCAAGTGTCAACTTGAAATTTTAAAAAATTCACTTATTTGAACTAAAATTAATTATTATTTATTATTTTTGAAAATTGTAATAAAATTCGCGGAGACAAATTTATTAAAATTGATTGACTTTGTTACTCCATTAGATAAATTTTATTTGATTCGCGAGTTTCTCTATTAAAAATACACGCTATTACCGTTCACGTAAGTAATACATAATAAAATTACACTACATAAAAAATAATAATTTGCATATTTTAATACCAAATATATGCAGTTCGATTAAAATATAAATTTAGTTAGAGTATCTAATTTTATGGTTATTTAAGTTAATTTTTTCAAAACAATACAGATAAATATTAAAAAAAAAAAAAACTTGTACATTTGAAGAAAAAGGCTTCGGAGATGAGAAATGAATTTTTTTCACATTTATTCACATTATGGCAGAATTAAAATATATTTTTTGTGAGTAAAACATACAAACTTCACACCGTAATTTTATAATGTCATCAAAACAATCTTTCAATCTCATTTGTATATCAGTATATTCATTCAATCATTTCCCAGTAAGAAACGAAAAATTGAAAAGTATTAAAAAGATTCTATTCTTTTGAATGCTATTTCTGTCCAATACTTTTCTATCCAGTGAGAGCAATATAAATAGTAACGATATCAATCCTCTTGAATACCCAGTAAGAAAGCAAAGATTAAGAAGCATTAAAAAAATTCTATCCTTTTGAATACCATTTCTGCCCTATGCTTCTGAATTCCGCGACAGTAGTATAATAATATAATACTAATATTGTTGACATATAGAATGTTCAATTACTTTTAAATAACTGCACTCATGAATTTATTTGCTATTTTAAAAAGAAATAATTATTAAATTATCAGTTAAGAGGGTTAAAAGTGTTTAAAGGTCTCTGAAATTTTTAGGTTATGATTTATTGTCTAACAGAATAACGGACCTGACTCGTTTAAATGACGTTAAATTGGTAAACAATCAATTTTTCAGCAAGTTTTTCTTTGAACACAAACACTTTTTACAAAATCTGCCACTGTATGTATCTTATAAATTACAAAAATCCAGAAGATTGCTTGAATGCATGCAGAAACGCGGTTCCAATGAAAAATTGAAAAGTGATATAATGACAGGCTGTAATAATTTCGGATGGGATTGGAAAGCATTCAGAAAAAAATTTTGTCTTTGTTAAAAATTACAAAAAGAATTGAATAGCATTCATTTTTAGACGAAACGTGGTCCTATCATGGTATAGAAAAGTATTGGACAGAAATGGCATTCAAAAGTATTGGATAATTTCTACTACACCATACAGAGTTTGAATTATTTCAATCCTTTTCAATTTTTCGTTTCTTACTGGGTTAATAAACAAGAAAGCGTTGGAGATGAAATCGAATTTTTACTCGGACCATAATTTAAATTTCAATTATTTATAAAACAATAATTTTCCTTCTTTTTGTATATAATGTTTAGGAAAAGTAAACATCAGATTCTTAGAAGAGTAGATTTTAGAAAATTAATCGAGACATAAAAAATGTCAATTTCAGAAGTATCACCGCATACACTTTTTTTAACGATTGTTTACATTGTTTAACCTTTTCAGTCATTACGTATGTAAACACTATAAGTTGGGACTATGTCGAGTACGGGCGACCTCAAAGAATGACGTTTTTTCGATAAATAAAAATAAAAAGCATACACACCCGCCCAATAAGAAAAATGTGAAGGTTAAAGCTTTTAAAAGGGACTTGTATACAAAAGTCATCAATTCAAAAGAAACTTTTCGAAAATGCTACGATAACATCCGACAATTGTAAGTATTAATTTGATTCAATTAATTTCCCCGCCACAGAAATTATAACACGATTTATAGAACAATATATTAATTAGGAAAGGTAAATTATTTCGTCATAAAAAGATAATTAATCATAACCTCCAATTCATAACAATTTAAAAAGGTGGGAATTAAATCGGAAATTCTTTAAAAATTAAATTTTCTAAGTAAATTTAAAATGAAAGGTTAGTTATGTAGTTTCTATATATATATATTAGAAATAATTACTAACTTATGATACATAACAACAAATAAAAGTTATTTTAATTGTTGTAATTCTTATGTAAAGAATGTGGTACGTATATTGTTATTGCAGGCCTCGCCCTCTATTAAAATAATTTTTTTACAATTTGCTACTATTCTGATACTTTTTCATATATGTGACAATAAAACAGGGTGTCTAATGATCTGGAAAACCGGGAATTTTAATTAACCGGAAAGTAACCGTTAATTTTTTCCTGAACCGGGATTTTTTTAATTTTGCTTGAAACTTTTTTTTTTATAATAATTTGTTCAAATAAAAAATGTTTTGTTTCAATTTTTTGTTGAATACATTTATGTAAATAGATAAGCTTAATTTGAAATTTAAAAAGATAAACCGAGAATTAACCGGTAATTTTCTGAAACGAAATTAGTAGATACGCTGTAAAAGCTACTTTTTTCACAAATTACATTAATTTAAATTAGCTAATAATTGAATAGTGAATTTTTGAAAAGGGCTTACTCAGAGTTATTACATATTTCACTTTTTTTTGTATTTCTTGCATTATTACACACATTCAGCGACGTTTTTTTAAAAAACAAAATTACATTCGAGATATTTTTAGCGGAGAAAAATGTATTAATAGTACATTTTGCAACACCTGTTACCGAAAAAGTTACTTTTATACTTTTCTAAGTAATAAATATAGTTTTATGTTGATTATTGTGTATATTATGCTGTTTACAAGAAAAGTGTACTGAAAAGTAATCAAAAGTGGGCGGGAAAGTACACATTCCTGCACACTTTTAAATGTGTAGAAATTTACCACTTTCTGCTACATTTATGTGAAAGAAAAGTTTTTATTTTCCAGCAGGTGTTGCACAAAGTATGATTTCCTTTGACTTTTAACCTTAGATTATATGTTTTCTAACCCAATGCGAAATTGTTTTTGAGCTCAAATAAATTTATTACATTATAAAAATAAATAAAAAAATAAAATATCTGTTAAAATTTCAAAAACCGAGTTGATCCCTTTTCGAAATTCACAATTCAATTTGAATAAAAAAAAAATTCTTAAAAATTTTAATGCAAAAAAAAATTAATTGTTTATAAAAAGAAAATTTTACATTCCATTAAAAAATATATATATGTACTAATTTAATTAGAGTATACATATAGATTACAAAAATTCTTTATTCTTTATTTTTCTTATTTCGCCATTTTTTGCAAATATTTCTAGACATGAGGAAGCTTCAGTAAGTGCAACTTTTGCGCAATGCGAAAACAGTATGTACAAATGGAGAAGGAAGTTTACACTACCAAAAGTAGAATCATTAGCAGCATATGGTGTTTTAATAAACTCCAATGAATTTCAACATTTAAAAAATCATCGTAATGGCTCTCTGAATATTTCATCGGCTGTTGGAGTTAACGGGGACGTGTCAATTGTATTCGTGGACATCAATTTCGCAAATCAAGTTTGCCAACATTGTCACTTATCTATTGACGCAACCTTCAAAGTGGTACCAAATGTACCAGAAGCTTCACAATTTTTAATACTTCGAGCAGAAACATTCAACCACGTAAATATAATTACTTTGTTAACTATTTTTAATTTAAAGAAAAAGAAAGTAAGATAATTATAAGACATCATTTTTCAAACAGATCACCCGAAAATAAAAAATTTAATGCTTAACCCTTTTAATGTCACTAACTTCTAAACGCAGAAAAAAACTGAACACAAAATGAATCAGAAAATTGATTCATTTTGAGTAAGCTTTTTCAAATTATAAATTGACAAAGTAATAAATTAAAAAAAAAATTAATATTATTCCAGAAATCTAAATTTTTTCTCACACACTTGTTCAATTTTTTGTATTTTGACGTGACGCAGTAAATTTTTTTCTTTGCTTAGGGACTTTTGGGAAATCTGCATACGTATACCTTGGATTCCGCTCTCCAAGGTTATGTGGGGTTGATAAAATGAAAAAAAAATATAAAAATAATATTAAATAATAAATTAAATAAACTGGCGACTTACTGCCAACCCCGACCTCCGTTCCCTGCGTCGATAGTTAAATTTTTTTAACCATTTCAGTGACAAAGCGGAATTTACAGCACAACAATATAATTTCCCTTACACGTAATTAATTTAATTTAATAACTGAAAAAATTTACGATTTTAGTAAAAAAATTTACTAAGAAAAATCAGTTCTGTTGATTAAAAAATTTAAAAAAAACTTTGCAATTTTTATATTTGTATCTGTTCTAAAAGAAAAAATTAAAATTAAAACACAGGGAAATAATTATTTCAACAAAATTTTATCTAAAAATAAAACATGTACAACTAGATCTTTCAGAAATGGTTAAAAACCATAATTGTAAGTAAATATTTAATTGCATTAAATATAATTGTTCAGTACAAAAGTTATTTTAAAACCCTGACCCTCCTTTTAAGACTGAGTACACAATAGGTTAAAAAATAAGTGGCGTGGAGTGTACGATAGTGAGGTCAGTGTTGACACTTTATTTTTTAATCTATTTTATCGATTAACAATAATTATTATTACTAATTAAATACTTATTATTAATTTTTTACAGGGTGTCTAGCGTCCGGGAAAAACGGGAAAACCGGGAATTTGCCGGGAATTTAGTTCGACCGGGAAAAACCCGGGAATTGAAAAAAATATCCGGGAATTTTTGGAAAGTTTCGCTAATTTATTAAAATCTATAAAAAAAATTCAATTTAAGATATAGTTCTCTGGCAGCTACTCTTTTAAAAATTAATTTTTGATAGATTTTCTTCATATTTTGAGAAAATATTTCTACGGGTACCCTTTAAAGGTGGTAAAAATTTTAAAACCTTTTGCCATGTCAAAAAACGAGATATTGTGGTTGACATTTTTTATTTTTAACATAATCGCATGGAAAAGTAAAAGTTTGAACTTGAATAAGTCAAAATTTAGCATCGCAAAGGGTTTTGAAATTTTTACCACAATTAAAGGGCACCCGAAGAAACATTTTTCCTCAAAATTTGAAGAAAATAAATTTTTACAAGTGTATAGAAGCCGGAGAACTACCTTCAGTCTTATATTTTTCAAAAATTTTAAAAAGATATATTATAGGTAATAGTCAATTTCACGTTAAATTTCAGTTCACATTTTCAATTAGGATGAAAATATATTATTGTAAATCTATTTTTTCATTTTTTATAGGTAACGAAATGTTTGGATTTTTAAAAGTAGACTTATTTTCAATTATCTACAACTCTAAAACTATTGAATTTAGAAAACTTAAATTGAAAGTTTAAATATAAATCCTAATGTTTTTAACTTATTGCAGTTGAACCTCAGTGACTTTTAATGTAAATATCTAAAAGAATACATAAATGCCATTGGATGTTGCAAAATAATTCCGAAACGATCATTTATATAAACGAAAATAATTGCAATTTCTATTATTCGAACTTTTGATTATCTGAACCAAATCCTGCCTGAATTAGTTCGGATAATTCAGTTTTCTCTGTATTTAAAAAATTATGAAATTTTAATCGTATATAGTCATTAATGTCTTAAAAATAAATCCGGGAATAATTTAGTTTTAGGTCCGGGAAATCCGGGATTTTGCCGGGAATTTGAAAATCATAATTCGCTAGACACCCTGTTTTTTTATAAATAAATAATTACAAATAATAAATGTATTTCCTGAGTGTTATTTTTGTCTCTTCGTTTCTGTACTTATAAATATGTAAGTGCAATAGAAATCATATTGTCATGTTTTTATGATAAACAAAAAGCACAATTTTTATAAACATTGTATGCATAATCAATTTAAAAGAATTTTAAAATAGGAAAAATTTTAAATAAAAATTTTTATTTTGAAAGGTTTTATGTTTAATATTAATAAGAATTTACATAATATTTTGCATTAATTGTAGAGCATTCCATTCGCTTGGGCATTGATGGAAAGAAAGTCTACAGGCTCGTACACAGCTGTTTTAGAGGAACTAAAACGGTTGCTTCTAAATTTTAATGTAGTGGAAGCAATGTGCGACTTTGAGACGGCTCTGAGAGCAGCATTACGAATAGCGTTTTTTGGAGTCGAAACACATGGGTGTTTGTATCATCATGTAAAGGTAATTATTTTAGTTTAATTAGATATAAAAAACATTATTAATTTTTTTAATTTCTTTGTTAACTTAAAGATAAATAGTAAAATTTGTTTTTTTAACAAAGGTTTATTTAACGTAATTATTAATAATATATAGTTCTAAAGAAATGCATAAAAAAGTTTATTTTAAAATTTTTATTAAAAATTCAGCTGTATATCGTGTCTCAAATATCTTTGGCTTAATTTAACAAAAAGTGTCATTGTAATAAAATAAACAAAAAATAAAACAACATTTTTTTCTAAATATGTTAAGAAGTAAAAAAATTATGGTTTTTACGTACTACTTGTTCCTGGTATATACAAAATATAAGAAAAGAACAATTTTTCTTGAAAATTATAATTAAAACATTATAATTTTAAATATTTTTACCAAAAACGTCAAAAATAATTTTTAATCTAACATTGTATTTTATTTAGAAAAACGTAATTCCAATAGTTCATAAAAATTAGTATAACTATGAAAACAAATACATTTTATGTTATAATTATTTTAAAAATATGTAGAGAAATATAATATAGTATACAATTTGATAATATACCTATATTTGATTTGTGGTTAGAAGAAAATCAAAAAGTTTTTATAATTTTTTATTTATTCTAATTTTTAATTACAATTAAAATATGACAAATTGTTTTATTTTTAGTGTAATTGGGGAAACGTGAGAACTCTACATCTGGAGGAATTGCTGATAGAGTTCCCTGAGTGCCATAATTTCATAAGATTAATCATGGCACTTCCTTTATTGCCAGCAAATGAAATTGCCAATGTTTATAGAGAACTTAAAAACTCCTTGAGTGATGAAGCAAAAGTCCACTTAGGACGATTCTTTATCTATTATGAACGCCAATGGACCAACAGAATTACACCCTCCGGTTACACTGTTTTCGGCCTGACCAAACGCACAAATAACGATTGCGAATCATATAATAGAACCTTGAAACAGCGATTTAAAAATCAGACTGATATTTGGGATTTTACGAGTATGTAATTCATTATTTTCGATTTAATTTTAACCCTAGAAGGGAAAACTGGGAATGATTAGACACCCAAAGAGAAGTTTAAAGTATGTTCACTACTTGATCACTCTTAAAGTGTCTCTATTTATCTTTTAAAATTGAAAAATTAAATTTTTAACCTAAAACCATATTTTACTTTTAGTGTGATTACAATAAATTTCTAAAATTAAAATGAAATGTTTGTAAAAATTTGTTTATAACCTAATTTTTTGAAAATTTGAATTAAAAACAAATTTTTTCAAAACCTTTTTTACCACTGTAAAAACTAGATTTTTTGCATTGAAGTATAATATACAAAAAATAGAGATTGTGTGAATAAGTTTTTTAAAATAATTTTTCAAATTCTTTACTTATGAAGGCTACTAAAAGAAATAGTTTTTTTTGTATGCGTCATCAAAAATTATTTATATTTTAATTTTTGATGAGACAGAATAAAATACAATTTTGTAGAATCAATTTATAAATAAACAATTAACAAAATGTTTTGAAAATAAAAAATTTATTAAACAAAAATTTTATTTGTATATAACACTAGGAATAAAATGATATAATTTATTTTTACAAATTAAATTTTAAATTTGAGGTGATTTACTGATTGCACTTAAAAAATTGTCCAATTCCGTTTTTAGAGCTTAAAGCTATTTTTTATAAATTGGTAATATTTTTCTCAAAATGGACAAATAAGGTTGTCAATTTTTTTTCGTCAATACACTTTTTTCCAAAAATAATAAATTCAATTTAAATTATGAAAATTCTTTCAACCGTACATTAAGATTTAAAATTTTTTATAATTAGATAAATAAATAAATATAAAATTTAAAAAATTTTCAATAACTTTAATATTAAATGAAATATGTTAAAATTCCATTCCACTAACCGTTAGGGGATACTTTTAGCACCAAATTAAATTAGATATTTCAGTTAATTTAATTTAATTTATATATTCTTATGTTCAATAAGATTTTATTGATAATAATTATCCTAAATTATCTTAACATACATTATATTCTATAATTTTAGAGACTCTTGCTGAGCACCAGAGTGGACTTTTAATAGATTTGAAATCCCTCGAAGAGGGCAACAGAATTACAACATTAAGAAAATGTAATGAAGTATTAAAAGACCAAAAGATTTTTGACGCGTGGTCAAAATTGAGTCAACCAGGAGGCTACTCACGAAGACAATTTCTGGAAGAAGTATCAATTATTTTCATTGACCCAATTCAAACTCTTCTGAATGAAGAATAAATCCGATGCTTGCGTATATCATTTACATTAATTTAAATATATCTTGCCAACAAAATTATTACTTTTTTCAATTATACTTACTTCATTTTACAGTTTTCTTCGCTCATACGCACAAACATAATTGTTGATAAACTAAAAATTTAAACTGTTTAAAAATGTATTCTTGCCAATAAAATATTTAAAAGAAATTATATTTTTCTATTGTCCTTACCTTATTTTACAGTTTTCTCCGCACACACGCATAAACATAATTGCTGATAAAATAAAAATTAAAACCGTAGATACTGTTTAAACGTTTTGCATTTAATACATCGCCTAAATATTATTTTGATGGATTAAAAAATTTTTATATTTCATTTTATGACCAAGAAATAATTTTTTTAAACAAAGTTGAAGAAATTAGTTTTCTTTTTCATTTTATTCCGTGGAAGAAGATCATGAAACAATTCTCTTTAATTTGTATAAATTAATTCTTTATAAACATAACTAAAATACTTTTATTTTAATTTAAATATCAATTATAATTAGTTTATTTTTAATATTTTAAACATTAATACTTTCTAATTAATAAATTTATTAGGCGATTCAAAATCATAATCAAAGTAATTAATGTTGTTTAGGTGTGACAATTTTGTTTCTTGCATTGTTTTTGATCTTAAATGAATTAAAAATACCTATTTCTAAACATTTTTTTTAAAAGAAATTAAAAATTTTCAAAACATATGCAATTGATAAAAGCATGAATATATATATATATATATATACATTATACACGTAAAAAGAATTTAAAAAAAATAATAGTACAAAAATGGCCGATAGAGGCAGCAGTTGATGGCAAGACAAACTTTTCATAATTTTAAACTTCGCGCCTTGTCCAGTTTATACGAATAAAAAATACCGGTAGCGCCACCATGGTCTACTTTATCTACTGTCACAACCAAAAAATAAAACAATGAGATGGGAAACAACAGTCTAAAAACAGGCTCCCGCCATTTTTGGCGAATTGGGAATTTTCTTGCATGATTAATATTTTGCATGGAATTTCGAAAAACAGTATTTATGTGCATTTCACATTCGAGAATGTGAAAGTTATGAAAAATTTTATATCTACAAATTAAAACAAGTTGTTCATTTTATGACCGTTAAGCTTCCTCAATATATAAAAATTGCGGTTTTGCAAACTTTTGAAAAATTATGTACAAAAGGGTTCGTCCAGAAGATTGGTTAAAAATAAAATTATATAAATCATTTATAAGTTGTTGTATAAATATTTGGTGAAATTTACACTTTCATTTGCCAATTGCTTCTATTTTATGATAGAATAATCATTTCAAAATATTAATATTAATATTAAATTAATTATGAAAAAAATACCAAATTTGAATTTTTTGTGAAAAAGAAAAATATTTATTAATTTTATAAATTTTGATAAAATATATACTTTGTATACATCAATCGATTCGTTTTCTTGCCAGGAATGTAATTTTGAGAATAATTAATAAAAATATTAACAAATAAAAAAATTATTTCAGAAAATACAAAAAAAAAATTTTCTGAATTTTAAAAAAATTGTATAAAAAAAAATTTTGTACATATTTTTGAAAATCCTTGTGTCAGATTTCAGGTATTAATGACTGCAATAAACCTGCAAAATTTCAGGACAATCCATCAAAATTTGTCTGAGATAATTTGTACACAATTTTTGTGACATACACACACACACACATACACACATACACACACACATACACACATACATACACACACACATACATCTGGACATTTGCTCATAATTGAATATACATATGTTCTAGATGAAAATGAGTCCATATAACCTTGTTTTGAAAAATTGAAAATCGTCACCAATGCAAAGCTTCCTCATGAGGAAGCAAAATGATGTATTTTTATTTTACGTGATTTGATAATTATATCAATTAGCATTTAGTGTCAGTAAATTTTAGGTTATGTTACTCTTACAAAAAATTTACATTAAAACACACAAAAATTCGTTGTAATAAATTTTCAATTATACAGATATAAAAACATGATATTTGGGTCAAAAGTTTCTCCGGTTGAATGAAATTTAAAATGAATTATAATTAAGAGTAATAATCAAATAATAAATATTAATTTTTTAAATTAAAAATTATGTCTAACGGTAATTTGATTATTTAAAGACAATGACTTATTAGTTATTCCAAAAAATTATTTCTATGATAAATGATACAAAAATCTTATGAATATTTATAATAACATGTTACTTAGTAACTTAAAAATTGTGTCCCTTAATTTATAGGTTATAAATGGATTTAGATTATGTAATCATTCGTATCTACAAAAATGATGTCAAATGGCTATTCGGGTAAATATATTTTAGTTTTTACATTAATTTTAGCAAATAAAAATTTTTATAAACAGAATTTAGAGAAATAAATTTTACTGTAAAACGCTTTCAAAAAAGTTAAACTTATAATAAACACAAATTCAATTAAATAAAAATTATGGAAAATTGAATTTTGGATAATTGAACATTTAAAAAACAGAATGTTTGTTAATTTAACTATAATGATAAATGGTTATTCAAAAAAATTAAATTTATAATAACTATTATTTTTTACAACTAAAATTTATAACATACGATAATTAGGAAATTAAATGGTTATGTTAAATAATAATTATCAAACATAAAGGTTATAATAAATATCAATCAGTAAAAATAAATTTTAGGTTAGGCAGTTATTCGGTGAAACAAAATTTATGACTAATGATCATTTAGAAAAATTAATTTTGAGTTTATGAATTCTACGTTAAATTAAAAATTATTTTAAAAAGTAATCTAATTATTAATAATTAGAATAAATGACGATTTGAAAATATAAGTATTATGTAAAGTATAAATTTGGTTTCAAAAAATTATGAAAAATAATACTTCGATAATAAAGATTTCTATGCCAAGAAAATTAGAATTTTGAAATTCCGGGAATAATCATGCACCCCGGGTGTAAATAAATGTTTCGCGTAACAATAATTATATGTGTGTTTAATTCTCTTCACTTGTTCAAGTGGCTACACACTTACAACAAGGTTAATTAGAGAAATAGTTTTATTTTATTGAGGAAACTAAGACTTACTAACACGCGTAGTCTAGTTACCATTTAATAAATCAAACATATAAATCAAATATGATTCATTCGTTGAATAAGTCTTACGTATTTCTGCTTCTTCTGGGCCCTGGTGATGTATAAAGAGTGGCCGTAGACACTGCTGCAAAACACCCCCAAGTAAGTGGCTGACGTATCTGCCTAGTTCTGCAGTTGGATGAAATTCCTCCAGAAGTCGTTTTCTTCTGAGACTTATTGTCTAGATCGACAAGCTCAAGCACCTCAATTAATATGACGTATTAAATTTCTTGAAGGTATCCGTAGAGTACCTACGGAGCCTTTCCTCCTTAGGTTAAACAATTATATTTTCCGTAGAAAATCAGGTTAACACTCGAAGATAGCACAGTTTGACGAATTACTTTTACGTCGTTTGTTGCTATCCTGGCAGGATCGCCAAAATGTTACGGTTTAATTTATAAAATAGACACAGTTTACTTTTTATCACTTCTGGGAGTGACAATTTATTATAATACTCAATATTACACTTTAAAGGCAGGAATAAGACTGAGGTGCAAATACGTTTTGCAGCTCATGTTGAATATGAAACAATTCAGGTGGGAATATATATTTTTGCTGACTATAACAGCGCTTAATAAGCATAAAAAATTTTGACCCAATCGGATTAATAGTTTTTCCATAATCTAATTGTTAATTAACAAACTTTTTTTTGCATTAAGTGTCAAATTTGTGAATCGTTAAAAAAAAATTTTTTCAAGTTGCATTTTACTCTAAAGGGTCTATATTTTTGATAACATGTATTGCGGAATAAAAAAAGAAATTTGTATTGCTAAAAATAAATTTTTAAAAATGGTCAATTTTTTTACTATAAACAATGAGCATATCTCAGTCAAATTTTATTTTAGAAAATCGGGATATAAACATCGTTCTTCCTTGTATCTTCCTACAACTTTTAAGACAAAAGTGATTAATCTAGCTCAAACAGTATTAGAAATAACTTTTTTTTTTAAAATCCAGACAATTTGTTTATTAATATTTTTTAATTTTTTTTGTACGGATTTGAAGATTACAATCTGCAGTTTAATATAAAAAATCGTGATATTTATCGATTCATTATTTTAATAATTAAAAAAGGACATAAAAATCAAAGTAAGAATTTATCTTGATGCAGCTCGTGGAGTGGGGACAAAGCAGCTTTTTTGCCCAACTGAAAGAAATTGTCGATTATATTTTATTTCATGCAAATACTTTAACCAATAAGCATATTTAAAGACCCTCTAGAGATTCAAGTGGAGAAAATTTGAAAAGAAAATTTTTTGAAGTTACAACTCATAAACAAAGCGTGCTTCATAACTCCCCATTCTCCTTTACATATTTTAATAACTAATAAATAATTAATTTTACTAATGTCTTTCATTGCAGATAAAAAAACGTATATTTATCTGCTTCATCTGAGAAGTGTGTATTATCTATAAATTTAAAAAGATTAATTCTAAAACAAATTATTAAAGAAATACATAAACCAACAGAGAAAAGGAGGTCAGAAAAAACTGACAACATTAATAATAAATAAAAGTGTGTGGTTATTAAAAGAATTTTATTATTATGTAACGTTTTGAAATTAATAATAATTATATTATTGATTTAAAATAAAATATACACTACAGTCAGAAATTGTCGGTACGAACGACGGGCGAGCTAAGACAATCTGAGCGGGAGGTTCGACGTCGAGGTATAATGATGTTGCACCGTCGATTATTGTCCGGTACACACCATTAAAACTCGACTGTCGATAAACTGGTTGTACTCAGGAGAGGTTTTCTACAGTTTCCCTCTTCTCTGGCGAGAAAACCCATTGACGGGTGGTCCAGGCGGAATGCG